GTGTTGGGGAAGTTGGGGGTGAATTGTATTCCTGTATTAAGGTCTCAAAGAATCAATAAAAATATTACATAAAACTCAAAATATAATTGAGGCAACAGCTTAAAAACTAGTTTACTATGATCAGATTCAATGATAGAGACTTGAAATACAATGCTTTGAAGGAAAGAGTATTTTTAATTATCAAAGTAATATATTACTCCAACATAGCTGTTGTAGCTAATTAGCCAACATAGCCAATTACTCCAACATAGCTGTTATATATTATTTTATTCTATTTTCTGATTAATAATTTCACACCTTTAATCACAAAAAACATGGACAAAATTAGATTTCCCTCTCCTGTTTATTTCAAGTAAGCTTCATGTCACTCTGTGGTATCCTAATAGTAACTATAAAGAGTTACGCAGACAGGGAAACATGGGTAGGGAAGGATGGGGGTGGGGTGGGGTGGGGGAGACAAAGGTAAAGAGTTGGAAGGAGAGAAAGGGGGGGAAGGGAGGCAGAATTCTGCAGAATATTTTGGTTGGATATGGAATTCACAGTTGATAGGGTACCTCCAGGTTGTGGTTGATGTTTTTTGTTGTTATTGTATTTTTTTCAGTTATATAATTGTAATTAATATCTTTAGATAATTGGGATATAGCACATATACTTTAACAATTTATTAACTTGTATTTCTTTGGTAAGCTGTTCTATTTTTATGTGAAAAGAGAATTTTAAGAATTATAATTATTTACTGAAGTATTTACGTGATTATTGCTTTAGACTGTTTTGTTAGTCAATTTTAACAGCATCTGAGACCTCTTGCTACTGTCATTCCCCGGATGTCCTTTCTTACTCAGTTGTGACTGTCCCTATTCTGGTATGGTAGGTGACTTCAGATTATTATCTAGTATGTTACTACGAGACTCTGGAAACTAGTTGTTACAGTTGTTGTGAGACAGGGTCTCACTATGTAGCCCAGGCTTACCTGGAACTTACTTACTATGTAGCCCAGGCTTACCTGGAATTTACTATGTAGGCCAGACTGGCCTCGACTTGCAATCCCCTTGCCTCAGCTTGCCAAGTAGTGGGGTTATGGGCATACACCATCATACCCCCGAGTTCTACTTTAATCTTTTATTTTAGGGGGTAGTTGGTCTGTGTATGTTCACCACAGAAGTCGTGGCTTACATTTGGGCTGCTCTGACGGCAGCTTAGTTCTCAGAGCCTTTGCCTCGCCGTTCTGGTCCCGCTGTGGTCTCAATGGTTCTTAATGGTGCTACTTTCAGGGAAGTACGTCTTCCCTGGGCCAGGTCAGCCTGGTGCATCCGATAGAAAGGTGTCTATGGCTCACGTGACGAAGATAAGATTTCCTGGGTTAGCCACTTCTGCGGTGGGATCCCCTTGGCAGTGCCGTTGGGTGGTCATCCCTGAGCAAGTGTGGGGGTCTGAGAGTTCTGCCTGGGTGTCTGTCAGTGGCTTGGGACACACTGCCTTGCTGATGAAGCTGCTCTCCTGGAATTCTCAGCAAGATGCAGCTCTGTCTGGTGTGAGAATGAGCCTCCCTGGGCGGCCTTCTGTTGCTAGGTTCTATGTTGAGAAACACTAGCACTGAGTCACCTTTTCTGTGGGATCAAGGGATCAGTTCCTCTAACTGTTCCTCTAGTCTCAGGGACCTAAGCCAGCTTGTTTTTCTTTCCATCTTGTAGAATTTTCCTGATGCTTCTAGCATTACTGCATAATTACACTTACCAACAGTTTTAACTATACTTAGGGAGGAACAAGGGGAAATAACCCTATGTACTCCTTCTAAGTCTGAGCATAAAAATATAGTATTTTATTTTTTTCTATTTGTAAAAGTTAACTAAACCAAAATCTCAAACTCATTCTAGAAGTTATTTTTACAATCATATATTCAAAAACTGAGTAATTCTTCTATCCATCTGAAGATGGAAGAAATGGCAGTCACAGACATACTAAATCATTGCTCTCAGGAGTGGCTTCAAATTGAAACACACTGTGATAGCCTCTGTAGCTCTGATATCCAGTACGGCCACTTTACCCATCCATTCAGCAAATACTTGCTGTTTTCAATGTACTGGCTTTGGCTACTAGGTAAATAACAGAAATGGAAAAACTTTTTTTTTTTCTAAATCTGTTCTAGGTCTGGGGAGATGGATCAGTGAATAAAATGTGCATTGTACGATGAAGGCTTGAGTTTGGACCCTGAGCACACACATAAAAACCAGACACAGTATTGTGTGCTGCGATCCAACCCTGGGGAGAAGAGGAGGGAGATGAGCACATCCCTGGAGCTCACTGACCAGCCAACCTACCTGAAACTGTGAGCTCCAGGTTCAGTGAGAGACAGTCTTAAAAATAAGGTGGAGAGTTACTGCAGAAGACACTCCAGTCTATACACACATACATACATGCACACAACATGGTAAGTATACCTCAGACACATGCACACACATGGCCAGTATGCCCTACATGCATGCACACACACACAAATCTTTGCTCTTATGGTAGTTGACATTCTCTAAAACATAAAGTGTCACTGTTTATCAGATGCATCTTTCCTTAAAAGGCAGCTTTATTAAGAGAAGCTGACTAATGGAATATATAGTGGCATTGAGATCACACATGCACAAATACAATATATAGATGTGATAAAGTTTAAAAAAAGAAGACTCAGAGTCTAGGGTAATTATAAAACAAATTTATTTGAGGACATAGGAAATAAGGAGTCCAAACACCTTTGGCAGATGCTTTTATTTCTTGAACAAATATATTTAAAAAGAAGGGGACAAGAGAGGGTAATGAGTCTCTCTCTCTCTCTCTCTCTCTCTCTCTCTCTCTCTCTCTGTGTGTGCGTGTGTGTGCGCGTGTGTGTGATCAGAGTTCTTCATATGTGACAGGGCTCTTGGTTCACAGGGTTTGAATTTGGGAGTTCAGGAGGCCAGCACGCAGCACTGTAAAGGGAATTGTTGAAGGAGGCCAGGAGGCCGGCAGGCATTGAGGGCATGAGCAGAACGGATTTTAGAATAGAGAATGTTGAGCTTTTTGCTAAATTTGATGTGACAGCAAGCTATCCTAGGTGAAATGCTCCCCAATGAAGATTCTAGAAATATCAGCTCTGAGGTCATCTGAGTGTCATTAAAAAGGAGAAGCTATAGGAAAGAATCTCTGAGAGAGGAAAAGTGGCCCAGATGATAAGGGGCAGAGAGACCTAAGGACTGAATCTCCAGGGACAGCTAAGAGCCCAGCTCCAACCCACCCCTTCTGTCTCTCCCTCCTTGAGATGACCTCATCTGATTATAGAGCCAGACTAGCTAAATAACCACATTCACTCGCAATTTCAATCCTCCCTGATATGAATAGACACAAGATGTGAATCCAATACAGAGCAAATGCTTGAAGTGCACAATGAAACCAAACTATACCCAAACCCAGAAATGAGCGTGCTATAGGAGAGTCCTATGGGAAAAAACAGCTTCTCGTCTGGGTTGTTGTTGTTGGTTTTTTTTTGGTCTTTTTGAGACAGGGTCTCCTTACAGCCCCAGCCGGCCTGGAACTCACTATGTAGACAGGCTTGACTTGAAATCACAGAGATCTGCCTCCCTCTGCCTCCCAGAGTGCTGGGATTAAAGGCGTGCACTACCATGCCCAGCTTCTCTTCTGGTTTTTGTGAAACTTTCTAGGCTCCTATTTATAGGAAAAGTAAGATTTGGAAGCTTTAGGAGTCAACCATTCTGTGTTTAAGTAAGAGTCTCGTAAGCACTGATATGGCTGAGAATAAGACTCAGCAGGTAAAGGGACTTGCTGTCAAGCTCCATAGCCTGAGTTCAATCCCTGGGATCAGCAGATGGCAGGAAAGGGCAGACTCCACAAGTTGTCCTCTGGCCTTCACATGCACACCATGGCATAACTGTGTGCTGGCTGGAGAACACACATGCACAGATACAAGAAATAAATGTAATAAAATAAAATAAAAAGACTCGGAAACCATGATGAACACAATACAAATTTATTTGAGATGAGGAATAAAAAGCCCAAACAGCTTTTTATACATGCTTGTATTCTTACAAATATATCTGAAAATAAGGGCAACAATAGAGGGTAAAGAGGGTGCGAGTGTGTGTGACCAAAGTACTTTATTTACATGGATCAAAATGCCACAGATCCATGATATTATATAGTATGTGTGCTTTTCAAGTGCAGGGCCCAATTGCAGTACTACTCGGGAATTCTATAGGTCTTTGTTATCCAAATTGCTTCCTGTGGTTTCAGAACTTAATTATGGTCCAAAAGAAGTAGAAAAATCTCAGGGACAATCCATAAATAAAACAACAAAACCCAAAAAGCCAAAAACAAAACAAACCAGCCAGCATATACTCCTTACTTAAAAAGAGCAAGACAGGCTGACTAGATTCCCAGATGGACAAGTAGTGGGGAACGGCTGGGGTGCCAACAACACAGCAGACAGTAGCAGGGATATCAGAGTACAAGGGCTCTAGTGGGGGAGGGAGGCTATGGGAGGGTGCCATCTGGGGAGTGGGTGTATAGTTGAATAAGATGGTTTGGGATATTCTGTGTGATACACACACACACACACAATCAACAAATTTTAAAAAATGTATTATATTTGAGGAGGAAGCATGGAAATTTACATGTTAATTGGTAGAGGTGATAAACATTACCATTGAAATCTACCTGATGACTTTATAGACATACACAGGTG